GTTTTTCACGGTGAGCGGGGGGGAGTATCGCGGAGGCCCGTTGTTGTCTCATATATCAATTTTTTTTGTAGTGATGTATGTAGCCGGTTGATTAGTAAACCACCAATATAAATATTATATACGACGTTGTTTGTCTCCATCTAGGCTTGTGGGGGTGATTGCATCGACAGTCTACATGTCAGTAAATGGGATTTACTCAACTTGGGGTGGCCCAGCCACCTTTTGTGGTTCCTTGTTGTTTTCTGTTGCCATTGGTCAAGATACCCACGCAGGTTTGTGTGGCGTTGTTCCCGACCAAACTCGCTCCAAGCCACGGTTTGGCAGCCATGGGTCATTGAAGCCGCTTCACTTGTGTGCATTGATGCCGAACTCCCACGCTGAGCACAATGGCGTTTGGAAAACATAGACATTGGGCCCTTTAGGATTCTAGTAGCTCTAAGCTGAGGAAAAGTAGAACTCACCCTTGTGGTCTATAGCATTGTACTTGTCACAATCCTATTTCTTGGGAGATCAAGCCAAGGTGCCTTTTCCATGCTGTTTCCACGATCCCGGTCCCCATCGTGCTAAGATCCTGATTGCTTGGCGGGCCAACGTGCTTGCGCCGGCCGCGTTTGACATGATTGCGGAGATGGGGTACTGGAAAAGGGGCTGCTCAGTACTCAGTACTTACTTAGGAAACCACTGCTCAATACTTTGGAAAGATGGGCAGGCAACAGTTCTTGCTATTTTGAGACTCATTGCATCTCATTGCTTTTCTCGCCTCCAACTTCTTTTTAGCAAAGATTCCATTCTGCTGTACTTCTTGCTGGGTGGATATAGGGGAATCGTGGGAGTGATGGCGTGAGTCTCTGAAGTGGACATGTCTCCAGCCGGTGTGGTTCCGGTGTTTGATTGGAGAGTTCAGGGGGGCTATGGCGGTTTCTGATGTTTCTTGCATGGCGGGGATTGTGAAGGGAAATGGTACTGTTGATGGTGGGGGTTTCAAGATTCATGGTATGAAGCCCATCCTGTGCTGACTTCACATGCAAGGGAACTGCTTGGATTGGCTCAAAGAGCGGATTGAGGGATGCCGAGGGGTGGCATTAATGGCATGGGCAGGTGCGGTGGGGAAACGGCTCTGGGGTTTGCGTATTCCAATGCACACCAGTGTGAATGAAGGTGCCGTCATTGGTGGAGTTTTGGAAGTGTCAGAAGTGTTAGGAGCTTGGAACTTGGGTGGTCATCCCATATCACGAGCTTGAGTTTGATTTTGGGATGGCAGGCACATTCTAGAAATTGTTGTTGAAGACACCACCGTGGAACAGACAAGAGCATGACACCTTTGAACACATTTGAGATCATTTGAGATATACACACCTATATAGACCAGACCATACCCAATTTGATCCAATTTGCTATTTACCTCGAAAGACCATCCACATGAAGCCCGACGGAGCCCGCAGCTGGACGCAGATCGCCGATGTTTATGACCTTCCGCAGGTGAGGACCTTCCATGTCCGCAGCGCGGCTGAAGTATCGTGTGGTGAAATGCAGCTCCGAGGTGCGCCCGGGGGCGCCGGCGCCTGCCCGCGCGCCCGTCACCGACGTCCCACGGACAGCGCCATGGAACGTCATGTGATCTCGCCGGCAGGATCCCGAGTTCCCCGTCTCCGAGCTTCTCACCCACAGCAGCCAGACGAAGGGCTGGCAGACCGCGCGCTTCTGCGACTTCCCCCAGGCCAGACGTCCTCAGCCGTAGACACGGTCGGTGACCGTGCGGCCGGACCGGTTTCAGGATGGTGCTTTTTGGGTCCAGCAACTGTGAACATAGGGCGGCTTTCAGTGGCCCCACTGCAGGAAATCGGCTTGCAGTTTGAGACCCCAGTGCACCTGCGGCAGGCAGGACTGCGTGTTTCACCAGAAAACGGACTGTGAAGTAGCTTGCTTAACTGAAACCTTTTATATATCTAATCTAAGCCACCGTCAAGAAGCAACTGTGATCATTTGTGATCCTTTTCTTTGTAATTTGCTGCCAGTGGTCACAAGTGGAGCGTTGCCGCCGTCAAAACGCAGATTGTCACGCAGACTCCTTGGCTTACAGACAACTGCTGATTCCAATGACTTGTGCAGACATGTTCCATGGCATTTCATGTTGTCCAAGAAGGCAAGCAACAAACAGAAACAAGCAACATCAAGCAGGTGAGGACCGTGCATGTGCCCCAAGTTTGTGTACTGCAATAACTCATATTGAGCAAGTTAGGATTTCGATGTGTCCTTTGTTTCAGAGGCCTCCGACTGTTGGTCGATTCGAAACAAAGGTCACGCATGTCGCACCATTTGGTGGGTAGCGATAAGACCGTACTGCGCGCCAGCCGGAGTATAGGTGGCTTAGGAAAGCACTCCTCACCCCTCATGAACCTCAACCCATCTTGGACTCCCACGCAAACAGGTTTACCACATGGCCACATTATGGGCCAAATTATGAGGAGATTGAAACCAAAAGATCCAGGAAAGAGATCTATAGGCATCTATAGGCAACTGACCGGAAGGAATTTTATACCCCCATAGACTCTAGACTCACCCCTTATAGTCGAAAACATTCGTGGAACACAATCCGTGGGTGGCTTTCGACTCCCCACACCTCCATTTGGGTTTGTGATCTCCACACCAGCTTCATTCTCACCACCGGGGCTTTGAGCTCATGGTGTGTGCGGGCCAAAAGCCCTTCATGGAGGAGGCAGCGGGCTATTTGGTTTGTATGTGTCGGCCGTTGACCTGTTGCTGTGCTTGAACACAACACGTAGAATGTAGAATTTTCTTCAGAACGTCCAGTTTCGTCAAAACACATCGTGGTTTTTGCGAATTTGGCGCCTGGCATAAGTCAGAAACTGAGACGAGGAAGGTCCGCAGGGGAGACAGACTTCGTCCGCACAGGTGGTGCCCTTCTGCCCTGAGCACTTCAACTTTGGTGCTCAGATCCTCCGGTTGCTGCACGTGCCCGGAGAGAAAGAGAGCATCTTGGCATCTACAGGTGGAACTGGGATTCCGGTTTGATTAATGTTGGCTGTTATTATTTTACTTTCATGTTTCGTCTTGCTGGAGTCCCCTTCTACTGCTGGTGTTTACCAGAGTTATACACCTTTGATCCCATTGAGCTTGAACATTTTGGCAGCGCTTTCTCCTTCTTTCTTCTCATTATAGCGCAAACCCAAAACACCAAACCAAAGCGGGGTACAGACATCATGATGCCCATTGATGCCCCAAAAGACCATCTCGGGTTCAATTCATGCTACGACCGCATGGACTCCCTGGCCCTGTGCAAGCGGTAATTAGAACATCGAACGTCACAACTTTAGAACCACCACGTGTCATGGTTTGTTCTACGTCTCGGGCTCCACGTGGTTCTCACTCCCTGGACCGGGAGTTCAGACCACTTCGGCCGAGGTGCGAAAGGTGCCCGAGACCTTTCGCAGCTGCACGTGGAGTTCCCACAGCAACGCCCACGGCTCCGATCACCCTTGTGGCTTGGGCAGAAAATGACAGAAATTGGTCGTCTAACCGAAGTGTTGAGCGAAGGGTTGGACATGGAGCTTCAATAAATTTGTTTAAATTCGGGTGCGGAACGTCCAAACAAACGCCGAAAGCGAAGGCCAGCGTCCCTGCCAAGCACTAGTTACTCACTAGTTTCTTCTAGGAACATGACTCAAATGTAACCTAGACGCCTCAGTCGCTAGCAAACTGGAAGCTAGGCCAACACCTGGAGATTGCCCAGTGCTTACACATCCTGAATGTTGACACCCGATCATCACACCCCGCTAGAACCTCCCTAGAAGGTTTGCTATCAAATAGCGGGCTCGGAGAAGGTCTTAAAGAGTTTATCACCATCCTGGAGTAGATAGAACATGAACCAAACCAAAAACATGACCAGTTTCCTGTGGTTGCTTGTGTTTTCTTTTAAATTCGTTTACTACTCCAGGATGACTGAGTCACTTGGGGGGGGGTCAATCATAAGATCCCAAAGACTGAATTCTCTTCATGTGGAGAGATCCCACAGATTACAGTAAATCTCCCCTCATAAGGAGGGATCCCAAAGACTAAGTCGATGAGGAGGGAGGGGTTGTGTTAGAAGAAGATCAAGGAGTTGAAGAACGGGAAGAAAGGCCGTCAGTACATGTTAGTATTTGCCAAAAATTGACCCCAAGAAAGGTGGACCAAACTAATTGGGCGGGCTTTTGGAGGATTCAAGATGCGGACTTCACCAAGATGTATCACGACTTCCTGCGGCAGGTGGTCAGAGAGGACAGATCCGGCAGGTGGCGGTGGGCTTGGAGTCTTGGAGTTCACTTAATGTTTCGTTTGTATTTAGGCTGGTATCTCAAGGATCACGCTGGTATCTCAAGATGTAGGATAAATTAATGTTTAACCCTACAGCCACAAACAATTGTGCTTCCCATTGTGTTCTTCGCGGGACTCTTGTCAAGGAGCTGCGAAAGAAAGGCATGCCCTTTCTAGAGTTCTCGGGACAAATTTAATACAAATTCTGGAAGTCTATTAGCCAGCCATACAGCTTGGGCGTGGTACCAGGATTTTTCCGGGCATGGTATGCGGGCGGGTATACCACTCAATTCCTTGTGCAGGTTCTGGACGAACAATCTTTTCTCCCTCATCCACGCATGCTTCTTCACCATGGATTGAAGCTGAAGCATTCTCAGTTGGCCTGTCCCTCCGGACCGTCTCAAAGCCCGTCCCTTGGAGAAACAGGAAACGCGTCAAAACTCATGGAGTGGCTCTGTTTGTTTGGCTTGGCCGTCTGCGGCCGTCTACGCAGGTGGCGGTTCAGCGCCGTGGAACTTTAGGGATGGCGAGGTGGGTAGAGGCGGACCAGAAACACCCAAAGGGTCCAAAGGGTGATGTCTTTCGTGTCAGACGCCGTCCATGTATCACGACATTTTCACACCAAAGAGTCGTCCAAGCTTTCACCAATATCACGCTGATCGATCTCAGAGGACTTGGAGGAAGAGATGCTGATCTTCGAGCATTGCCCCAACTTGCGGATCCACCTTTCCGGCGAACGGTCCTTGACCTCGCCTCACACCGACCGGGAGCATCAGCACTCAGAGGCCGAGACGCTTGGAGACCGAGGCGGGCGCTTTGGAGGGACTGGGTGATTCATTTGGGTGTACCCCCTGGTTGAATGGGTAGACTGGATGATAGATAGACTGGTTTGGCTTGTTTCCCTTCGAGCCCATGGGTCGAGCTGGGGGGGTCTCCTTATGTGTAATACATGTGCCCAATTGGATTGGGAAAAGGCAAGGTGATGTGGCATGGACGGATACGCAGAGGATGTGTAGAGGATGGTAGAGGAACCAACCAAAGAGAATGCTCTCATTGCCTTTGCAGCACGTGTGTTTGCCAGTGAGATGAACTTCTTCTTGTAGTGTGTGGCAAGGATAAAGCCAAGAAACCTTCCTGACAAGTGCAAATGAGGGGAACAACTGTAGGTGGCCCATATAGGTGCGCGCATTTGTCGTCACTTGGAGCATCAAGGGGCAAGAACACATCACAAAACATACAACGTCAAGGACGGCGTTCCAAGGATGAACATGCTGAGAGAGGGGGGTCTCCTTACTATCCTTAGTGATCTCCCAAAAATGAAACAAATTGCTGATCTGACTGCTTCAGTGAGATGCCTGACTGGGTTGTCGTTGTTGATATTTGTTGATCGCTGAGTTGAGTTGACTTCAGCGTATACATAGTGATTGATCGACGGGTTCATTATGGCCGTTCATTATGGCCAGATCTGACCGTAAAAATCTGATCACTACCTGGAGCCACATCTTTGATAGCTGAGTTGCGTTGACTTCAGTGAAGAAGATGGGTTGATGCCACACCTGATCTGATCTCCGTTGACGTCTTCCAAGGATCAACTGGTGGGTGCCTCTGACGCCGTGCTCCGGCAGCGCCAGCCTTTGGGCCGAGTCAGCGCCGGGCTTGGGCGACTTCCACGCCTTCGAGGCGGGTCGGTCGACACCTGCGGACACACGTGTTTGCCTCGTTGATGTGGGTGGTGTTTGTTTTATTTTGCAGCGTAGTGGGTTGATCTTCCAAGAATCGCGGTTGGTTTAAAGTTTTGCACGATTTCGCCAGGCCGTTGAAAGCTTAATCGAAGTGAATTAGAAAGCTTCGACTCGATTCGACCATGGTCATTTCTAGCATCCTTTGGTTTTGCAGGTTTTTTCCAGTTTGTCCGCTTCGGAAGGCTTCGAATCAGCTGGCTTCGTAGCCACACGGGTCATTTTGACTCATTTTGAGCCCTTAGTTGACCATGACAAAAGCCAACCATCCGGTGCCTAGAACTGAACGTATCTAACGTTCCTCCATATTCTTTACATCTTTTTTCTTCGTCGAGTGCTCAGTCGACGCTGGACTTGTCCATGCCGAATGTTTTTTGCCCTCAGATCTCGGTGAACGGATTGGTTAAAGTTAAAGGGAACATTGATTGCATGGTCTCCGTTTGCATCCTGCAGATTCTTCCCTTCAAGTCCGTGTTCCTCCTCCTTGGGGGATCCCTCCACCTCTGGACCCTCCACTCGGATGGTGACACACTCGCTGACACCTGATGATCAGGTGCAGCCCGGGGAGGCGGTGCGCTTCTATGGGCAGCTCAGACGAGAGGTGGTGAAAGCGGTGAAAGCGGTGAAACGGGTCGGAGGAGCAGAGGGCTCGGTGGTCACCACCGCAGGGTGTGATAGACGGTGCACCCCTCGAAGGTGCATCGATGAGTCTTTCAAGCACTGGTGACGAAACGAATGATTTCGGATGTCCCTCAAACACTTGGGGCATATTGAGGTTGCCAAAAGATCCTTAGTGCTCAACGTTGAGTGCTTATGCAACTCATGCGCTTCTGAGATTTTTGTGTTTAACTAGGTGCATCGATGAGTCTTTCAAGCACTGGTGACGAAACGAATGATTTCGGATGTCCCTCAAACACTTGGGGCATATTGAGGTTGCCAAAAGATCCTTAGTGCTCAACGTTGAGTGCTTATGCAACTCATGCGCTTCTGAGATTTTTGTGTTTAACTAGGTGCATCGATGAGTCTTTCAAGCACTGGTGACGAAACAAATGATTTCGGATGTCCCTCAAACACTTGGGGCATATTGAGGTTGCCAAAAGATCCTTAGTGCTCAACGTTGAGTGCTTATGCAACTTATGCGCTTCTGAGATTTTTGTGTTTAACTAGGTGCATCGATGAGTCTTTCAAGCACTGGTGACGAAACAAATGATTTCGGATGTCCCTCAAACACTTGGGGAATATTGAGGTTGCCAAAAGATCCTTAGTGCTCAACGTTGGGTGCTTATGCAACTTATGCGCTTCTGAGATTTTTGTGTTTAACTTGGAATCACCATCAGGTCGGGTCATTGGGAGTGGTTGTCCTTTTTACACAGTTTGCAACAATTCTTCAACCACAAAAGGTGTGGGCCATGTTTGTGCACACCTTTGGTAGTTCAGTACTTCACATTTTTGGTGATTGCACCCAAGCCTGATGTTGGGCGAGATGTTCTTGATTTAGATGTGCTTGTCAGTCTATAGTTGGATCTTTGTTTTGAATGGAGACGTTCCAGTACCCCGAGCCACCTGTGGCTTCTCACACTCAGGAACCAATGCTTGCACTTCACCCGCGCCTCGGGCAGCAGACCTGGAGACGTGTGGCTTCAGTGGTTCGTTTTGACCCCCCAAACCACCCCAATGTAGGCATAATATATGGTATACATATGCATACATGGAGTGTCTGGGATTTGAGAGTCAACATATTTCAATTCTCTCAAGTGGCCACGGCTCTGATCTTTCAAACTGCCATCTAAGCCTGCATGGTAGGCCACCTCAGCTTTGAGCCATAGCCCCAAAGGATAGAGTTGGAGCATTCGTTTAAAGGGCTCAGTGCGGCAGCAAACTTGGCACAAGGCTGGTAGTTCTTTTTGCAATAAGCGATGTTTGTGGAACCCGGAACTTGGGAACTGAACTTGTCCGCAAACCTGGTCGAGGACTAAGCTTGGCAACTCAGGTTGAGCGGAAAGGATTCTGCAGTCCGCAGTCCTGTCTCCCGAAATCTGCGCGCTTTGAAGCGGCCGAGGCGATAACAGCAGCTCGCAGTCGAGGGTCTCCTTCGACTTCCGCGTGATCCGGCTCCGGGATTTCCATTGGGCCAAGGTGCCGGCACCCACAGAGAAGGATGCAGAAGTGCGCTGGAGTAGCCTTGCTTGAGAGTAAGTCCCAGGATGTCCGACGGTACATTTCAGCCACAACTAAGCCCTGGCCAAATTACTACCAATATGGACCCCGAATACAGTCCACTCAAAAATTCTTTTTGTTCCAGGGTCCATCAGAATGTGCGTGATGGTACTGGATAGATCTAGATAGTCAGTGGACATTCCCTGGTAATGTGTGCATGGTGTGGAAGTAGATCGCGTTTCATCGAGGCATCTTTGCATACTATGACGTCATGGCTGCAGACGGCACGGTGCTCACGGGTTTAGAGGACTGGGAGCGATATGTGGCACCCGTCCTGGCCAATCAAAAGACGCCACTAAATGAGTTTCCCAGCATGGTCTCCCTTGGAGGCGCGGGGATGTCAAACACACCGTGAGAAGGGCGACGAGGTCTGCAACTCATGACAACTCCGTGGAGAACATCCACAAAGCCACAGTTTTTTTGGCAGACTTAGATGATCTTAGATGGCTTCTTTTTCCGTGATGCGAGACGAGACTGAGTTGAGATCGTTTAATCAGAACATGGCCTGAATATGTTTAAAGAACTTCAGATTCAACCACACTCCGTTTTGGCCGACCCACCTTGACCATCCTCCGTCCTCCAGACCATCCAGACCATCCTCCGCCCGCGGCTCCCACCGCCACACGGCGGTCGCGGCGGTCCACGTCTCCGGAGCATGTGGCGCGCTGCGCCGAACGCCTGGGCTCCCAACGCTTGGCGCGGCGCCAGTGCGCGCGGTGCGGGTGGATCGCCCACCGTGCAAGGCACGGGCCCAGGTGAAGGATGGTGCGGGTGGCGTCGGTTTGGATTGATGAGAGTGCGCCGTGATTCCGTTTCACAGCAACTGGTGAAGCAACATGAAGGTTCTTGGATTTGAAGCAGGAGATGTTTTCGTTACACTGCTGGACATTGACATGCTGTTTGAATTTGAGGGCCTCTTGACCCAAGCTGCTTCTGCAACTGTAGGTGTTGCGAGGCCACCTGAGATGAGCCCTTACAGTAAGAATACCTCCCAGCATCGACACTGCCACAGGAGGGTTCCAAGTCACTATGATTTTATTATGTTTTGCGTTGGTGGCTTGACAATGCTTGACATGTTTGTTTCCCGGGCCTTTGGGCTGCCCCAAAATCATGCTCACGCGTTGAGCTGCCGAAGCCTGCACTGATCGCCAATATTCCCCAACCCTTCTCCACGTCTTGGGCTGCGTATACCAACCCCATCGTTTAGTGTGGGTGTTTACTTCCTTAAGCGGCTTAAGCCCACTCTTTCATACTCTTTTCATCGCCCAAGATCTCTCCAACCAAATTGATCCAAAATGCCTCACCTGCGGACCCCCCAACTGGGATGGTTACTAGACACAAACAGACATCCGCCGCTGGGCAGAGGCTCTTGGAAGTCCTTCGCTTCAGCAAGCCCCACGAGCCCCACGGCGTCGCCACATCAGAGACTGCGCCCTGGGTCGCTGAGCAGCCGGACCGGGACGCTTTTGGGTGACGTTCGGGGCGGGAGGGATGAGAACCGCGAGATCACAGCGATCGATTCCATGTTCAGCACTTCACATCATCATACTGCTGCAAAGACCTCGGCAGCCTCCAGGGCCCATGTTTCCGTCCTGTTTCCGCTTCGCAGGACCCTTCTCTCCCCTGGGGCCTCGGCTGCCGCCTTTGCGCGCGGCGCGTGCGCCTGGGCGCGAGGGGCGTGCCGCCGGGCGGTCGCCGGACGGCCTTCAGCGACTTCACCTTCGGTGTGCCTCGTCAGATTTCAAGAAAGTCGACGAAGTCAACTGAAAGGAAGAGAAGTGAGGACAGGTCAGGTGTTGACAGATGCTAGCTACGTTGGAGAATGGGTGAAGATGGATCTGTGCTGCACCATGCTACACTCTCCCACTACCACCAGCCTGCGCCTAACACCCTTCCACTACCCTTGATTGATGCACAGATATGCACAGAGATTTTCGGCATTTGCGAACCATGGACAACATTGGACAACCCATTTTGTTACTATATTTGTCTCCCTGGCGTCACCATGTGCCCCTCACCTTCCATGAACCATCACACCTCCTCACTCACAATTCCCAGCTTTTGCCCTCGGCCTGTCAGGCCTCGATGCCTGGCTTGCTCTTCCAGCCTTTGCTGCGGCATGGGAACCACGCCATGCGCCAGGTGGCCATGCGCAGGGAGTCCACACCACTGGTGGTGGAGCAGGATTTCGAGACTCTCGGTGGACTGTGCGTGGTGTGGTGGATGGGTGTGCCCGGTTGGGTGGCCGAAGTGCTGATACATTTGCCTAGGGAGTTGGTATGAATCTTTCAAGATCTTTCAAGTTTCTTTTGTTTGGGGGTCCTCATGTCAACGTCAAATAAAACACAAAGAGATTCCGTGTATTGACCTTGATGGCCAGAGGAACAGCTCGGGTAGCAGGAAAAGAGAATGAGGACGATCAATTATAAACATATTAAACCATTGTTGGCATATATAGATGTTCCACAGCATCCCCATATCGCCAAGACCCGAGACTCAAGCATGCATGGTTGCTCGTCCAGCTCCTTTGTCCATCGTCATTACTTCGCCAAAGCGTCCGCCGAGGCATGCGGAAGCCCAGCGTGCGGTGCTGGCAGGGCTTCTCATCCTCGATGATTCTGACTCCTGCGAAGATGCAGAAAAAAGGGAGGGGTATTTGATCGTCTTCGAAACCCGAAGCGTCGTTCTTGATCAATGAACACATCCCTGGCAAATGGTAAATTCATTGGGTTGCTTTGGTTCGAAACCACCAAATCAACCGACCAGGGAGCTTTTGGGGCAGAAGGCAGCCCAAGATTTGGTTCCCCTGAAAAGCTGGCTCCTGGCGTAGTGGGGTCATGTGAACATGCTGCCGGTCTGCAGTCTGCAGGTCCAGTTCTTATCTCACCAGAGTAAGACGCTCGGAGGCAATGGAAAGCTTGGGTCAGTCATCTTATCTGGTTTTTGGGAGAGATGGGAAGGTCGGGTATAACAGAGAGGGTGAGAATCCCTAGTGCTCGTTAGCAGACAGCGCGTGACAGCGTCCTGTTTAGTTACCCCCTCCACTGGGAACCACCATGTACACCATCCCGCGCATTTGGTGGAAAAACATTGCGATCCAAGTTGTGCAGGTGCAGATTGGTTGGTGATTCTTTTCGCTGCGGATTGTGAGATTCAGGTGAAGCCGTCAAAGCATGCATACATACGCGCTTGTTTGGATTTGTCTTAGAATTCTTGAGGTGGAAAATGACGGAGGAGAGTGGGTTGCAAAAGCCTATCCAAGCGTCCCAGGTACTGTGAAGGGACCACCCAGGAGAAACCCTGACAGGCGAAGAAAAAGAAGAATCACAGCTCTTGATTCCTTTTTTGGGGTTCCTGTAATTAGCTCCTATGGGTCAAACCCTGGAGCCACTGGAGCCCGACCAGTCCACCATTTGCCGCGAACGACCTGGCACCTCCAACCGTTCGGTCTGATTTGGACGGCGCCCTCTCCATAAATCCCGTTTCCACCCCTTGTCCCCCCCTTGGAACCGAAGGAATCCGCCGAAGCGCAAGAAAAAAAAGAGAGCGACCGCACCGAGGATCGCCACGAAGATCGACCTCTACACCGCTTTGCCCACCGGAGGCCGGCCAGGAAGGACGGGTGGGAAGGGTTCGTCATGGTGAGGTCGCAAAATGGTTGAGAAGGTTGGCAGGTGTTAGATCAGGCCGGGTCAAACGTAAGGGAAACTCCACACCTGGCTCAGGTTTCCTTGCAGGAGTGAACCGACCGTACTCACCACCTGAGGCTGTTGGGGTCAGCACTAGGCCGCAGAAACATCACACATCGCAGAAACTTCACGAAAGCAACGGGCAGCTTCTGCTTCCCATGATGCCCATGTCCCAGGTTTTTGGCGTTTCGCCTCTGTCTCCGTGACACGACACTGCTTCTCTCCCCGACGAGTCGTCGTCCGTTCGACCCATCGTTTGTCCACACATCGTGGCCGACGCTGGCTGAGGTGAAGCGAGCTATGAGGCGGTGTCTTTCAAGAGGCCCACGGGTGCATGCGAGTGCGGAAGTGGCTTGAGAGCATTACTTCCAAATCATCAACGAACGCCCCTTGGCCCTTGGATGGTTAATTCATGTGAATCGTGGGCAATGCTGGGATGGCACAGAGAAGTGAAAAAAGGTGCCTATAAACCCAACCATCCCAGGGCGTCCATCAATGCGATCAGAGCCTCGCCTCGCCAGGCTGGGCTACTTGTCTCTGGATAGCAACGAGCGCTCTCAGTTCCAAGCGAGGGAGCTGAAGAGCGTCGAATCCTTAGACCAGAGTAGGTCAGAGCATGGGGTCAGCAGATCACCTTGTTGATCCTTTTTGTGTGACATTTTGCGAGTATGGAGCATGATAGAAGCTCTTGAAAAAATGACATGTATAAAATTAGGTTCTTGTTTCCCGTGGTGTGTGTTTGATTGCATTAGGGTTTTATGATGTTTTATGTTTCTCCTGATTGACCTGCTGAGCTGCACTGACACAGGCATCTAAGGACTCGGTCAGATGTTTGAAATAGATGTGGTGCACCTTCCCACCAACAAACATGGAAGTGGATCATGGCCATTTGGTCTTTCCATGCCATCCGCTTCCATGATTGTTTCAGGGAGTGTCATCGCTCAAATCCATGCCTCTCCGGGTGCCTCTCTTCTCTCCGTTGATGTGGTGCCTCTTTTTGAACCCTTTTTTTGGCCTCTCTCCGACTCCAAGGTCTACGTGGATGCTGGGGTCCTTGGCACGTTTGGGGATGGTCATCTGGTGGAATGGCAGAGGTATGACCATCCTACTAGCATGGCCAACACCAGGTATTGATAGAACTTTGGATGACTTCCCCTATCCATGTCACAGAAGAGTTGCTAAAAAGTTACAACTGGACGGCTGCAAACCCTTGGTCATCCCCAAGATGGTTGTTTTGGAACCTGGAACCCTTTGTACCGTTCCGCAGTTCAAAATCCTAGACGTTAACCCTGCTAAACGCAAGACTAGGTTTTCCTGATCAGTGTGCAATGTGTCATGCATATAAGGCACCTGAGTGAAGCCTCACGGCTGCTCAGGGTGTCAAGCCCCTTGCGTGCGCCTGGGCCAGGCTGTCGATGCACATCCCTTGCTCCCTTGCATGTGTACACCTGCCTCAGCCACTTAGGCTTGGCCTGGTAAGTGGATCACTTGTCCACTTTGCATACTTTGCTGAACAGTAGTTGCACTGAACATCTGAACATCTACTTTTCAACATCTATTGAACATCTCAACCTGCTTGGTCTCTGTCCATAGACTCTATGTGATGCCTGCTTCTTGCTGCAGATCCCCATGCAAGCGGCTGCTGATTCTTGAGGAACGATTCGAAGCCAAGAAGTTGCCTCAACATGAAAACAAACTGAACATGTGTCCTTTCTGGTCCCAACATGTCCCGATTTCTCCCACAACGGAGGTCGAAACATCCATCAGGTGGTCAGATGATATAACCTGGGTGCTAACCCCTGGAACCCTCCGTCATGGAGTGCGAGCCATGCCGCGAGCGACGGGTCCTGGTGCTGGGGCAGAAGGACGCGATGATTTTCTCGCTCTACCAGCTGGTGCAGGCCGAGTAATATATAACTAAACAACATGTCCAGAATAAGCCTGGTGATAACTCTTGATAGGTCACAGAGCCACTTAGCCTGGTACCCTTGGTAGCAGTTCGACAGAGTTTCAATCATAGCTTTGCAACTTTATTTTATACTGTATAAGGATGTTGTCACTGTCCTTGCTGCCAAAATCCCCGTCACAAGCGGACCTACCCAATATTACCCAATTGCCTCTCAAAATAGATGGTGAAAGACAACCAGAAATGTAAGAGACTTGGGCCGTTCGGTTCATATCAGCAGACGAATATCCTTATAGAAGTTACAACATGTATCAACATGTTATAGCTCTAAAGTGCTCCCCAAAGAAGCCGTGGACGTTTTCTGTTTGGCAGGTGCGCCGCCAGCAACGGCTGGAGGTCTTGGTCATGACGCCTTCAGAGAAGGCGATGGGTTATCCGCCCAGCGCTGGGGCAGAAGCGGTGTGCCGGGCACTCGGCTGCTCGTCCCAACGAGGTCGCGGACTGCCCCAGAGGGTGTAGAAGTCCAGGCTCCATGCTACCCTTCATCAATCTCTAAAGCTGGAGGATGTTACAGTGTTTTGCTCGGAAGTTTCACCCCAAAATGTCTTCCGGAACTGGGGGGGAGTTCTCCAACCAAACTAGGCAACATCCTGCAATCTCCGGCCGTGCGTTGATGGGCCGTGCGAAGTACCCAGCAGCCACAGGCTGCGATGCTCCAGCATGAGGTTCAGTCACAAGCATCGTGCGTGGGATTCAGAAAATTTGGATTTTGGGATCGTTCTATTCAGAGCAGGCAGGGCTTATGGCATTTTCTGCAAGTCAATTCTCCATGTTCTTGTGCCATCCGGGCCCAGAATTGGGTAGATGGAAAGGAGATGCCTTCCTGGACCTTGGAAGCTGAGGTTATAGCCATGAGGTGGCCAGCAACAACGAGGCTGGGGCAAAAGGGTGGGACACGAGACTTGGGCCATTCCGAGAGCGAGACCTGAAAGCCACGGATAATGCACCTCACAAGACAGGGATTCACACATTACGCACTATTATAGTACCATCACTATAATATAGCCTAGCATAATGTAGTACAGTATTACATTTATATAGTGACGGACACCCACTTAGAACATATTTTTCCAAAATGTTCAAACCTACACTTAGACTAAAACAGGAACACTACACTTAGAACATTGAGACTTAGAACAAAAATGCTCACTTAGAACATTGGTTAGACTATTTCATAATTATTCATACAGTGGGTGTCCGTCACTTTGTATGTTTGCATAGATTTCTGGTTAGGGGTGAGCATACAAAAGCCTGATTCTATTTGTGGAGGTCGGTGATAAATGAACATCAAGCAAACATTAATGAGGCTGCACATCTTGAGCACACAGCAAGCGTTTTTTGCGCATACTACATACATGAGATCGGTCATTGCTTCAGCAGCCAAGGGAAACTGCATCGGTTCCTATGATACTGCCAAGAACTAGTCTAGTGCCTGTACAAAAATGCTGCAGGGCGCACGAAAGCATCCCTGCTCTCCCAACAACCTAGTCCAAGCCCCGCTGCTTGCAGCAAAGTGACCCATATCCAAACTCTTTCACTTGCATAGGTAACTCCATGAGTCAAGATCGACAGCTCCCCTGCAGCCGAAAGTTTGCAGCCGGTGGCCGGTGGCAACCAGCATGTTTTTGGTTCTAAGCCAGCATTTAGGCCAATGTTCTTACCATTGTTCTTAGCCTGGACTTTTCTCCAGACATATGTTCTAAGTGCACACTTAGAACATCGGCATATCTGTGACTCATCTTTGTTTTTTTCCAAAATATGTTCTAAGTGGGTGTCCGTCACTATACACATATTGTAACACCATGTGCTACTGTACTTTTTGCCTCCTTTTCTTTTAGGGACCGTGTTCGTCTCACTATGGAACTGAACGCCCTTCCACTGAACCAACCGAGCAACCCACCAGTTCAAGCGGTGCGAACTTGGAGGCCCTCTTGGCTGCTGTTCAGCGCTTTCAGCCAGACCTCTTGGTCTCAATCCTGTGGCCGCGCCGGGTGCCCAAAGAGGTCCTGGACTTGTGCGCCTTGGTGGAAGAACCCCGTGGCAACTTGTCGTGGGAACATGAGGTTTCACGTTGACAATGCGCCTGCCCTAGCCTGTGGCAGTCCAAGTGTTGCATGAAGGGGGATATATTTTTGGGAATCTGAGCGCTTGCGGGTTTGGATTTGCAATGATTTGCAGGTAATCCATTGAAGCTCGCAGGAAGATGCAGGAAGTCACCGGCTAAAGAGTGGGGGCTGTGACCTGCACATTGGACCTTATGATCTTCCATTGATGCCTTTCGTTGCTGAAAACCGAATCTCCGCCCCTTCGCCAGGCCCTGAAAGTCTGAACTTCCACCCCTCGCTGCTCCCGAAGCACCGCGGATCTTTGACCCAGTTCTGGGCCATCTTTGAGGGTGACGACAAGGCGGCGACGTCAGGGTGACGAGAAGGCTCCAAAAACGGTGGAAATGGACACGTGGGCGAACGGTTTTGTAGATGTTCAAGTCTGGGGCAGCACCGAGGAGCGATCAAGGACAATTCGTATGAGGAGATTTGGCCATTTGGCCTCCAATTATCCAACAATGTAACGAACATAGTTTGGTGGACAGACTTCACTTTTTCGAACCAAAGGGTTCTGCTTCAGCTTCTTCTTTGCTGATGTTGTTTCTGCACAATCATTTGGCCATTGGCGGCCATTGTTGCAAGGAGCAGATTGCCAATGGTGGGTGGCACAGTGGGTGGTGGTTCCTCATAATCCCTTGTTGCCATCCAGCAGCAGCAGCATCAACAGCATCATCCTGTTTCTCTTCACTTCGCCCAAAGCCGATCACACACAATGTGCCTGGCCCCACAAGATCACTTTTTGTTGATCCATGCCATTTGTCGTGTTCCTTTATTCCATCCCGGGCTTGTTTGGAAGACAGGTCCCAGAAGGTCCCCCTGTCCCACCAGGCAGGCACCACCTGCCACCGCATGGTCTTGGAGTTTGACGCTGGGAGCCTCCGGCATGTCCGTGTCGCTGCGGTCCCGTCGGGTCGGGGGGCCGCACGAACGGAGGAAGTCGGGGTCCAGATCATCCACTCACTGGATGGGGTCTCCATGAACCACCCCAACATGTGACTCCTGGATGTTCGTTATTTGGTGTTGTGCATGCATTTTTTGGTGCCCTCCTAATGACACTTGTCCAAAGAGAGCTCAAAGGAGCCGATGTGGGAGAGTGGATACCAAGCCCCGGAGGGGCCCGATGAAGCAAATGCCCTCAAGTCAAAGGCGTTTCGGACTGCAGTTGCATTGATTTTGTGCCGGTCCATGGTGTTTCTCAACCAGAGAAGCGACGTTTGTCTGCAACAAAGTCTAAAATACAGTACTGTGGATCCCAAGTTCAAGGGGGACAAATTGGCTAAGTCTGAAGACAGCCAGCACATTTGGGAATGAACGGGTGGTATTCTGGACACCTATACTTACATGGTCCAGCCCTGTCCGAACATGCCTCCTTGCGTCCGGCACGCGGTCCGCGGTCGCCAGGAAGATCCTTCACCGTGAGGAGGTGGAACTGTCAGCCGATGAGCAGCTGGGTCCGCGGGTCGGTCAGCGCATGGTCTAGGGAACTCGTTCCAGGTCGGAACCAGACAGGGTGTGGAGTGGAGGTGCTTCCTTTTTTCACATATATTCGTGCGGTTGAGCGTAGGGAAGATGAGAAAGCTGTCCGAACAAGGAGCAACCAATTACCTTTTTAACGGGCAGCACACTTTTCTACCTGTTCTTGGAATTTTGTGGACACCACACTAGCTTCCTGCGGGATATGACATTGCCAGAGATGGGTTGGCCACTGCCCCGCCGCAACTATGCAGCACAGCAGGTGTTTTTCAGGGTTACTAGTAGTAACAAGAAGCTACTAGTAACAAGTGCATCGCTTCTAGTAACAAGTGCCTTACTAGTAGTAACAAGAAGTTATTAGAAACTCTGGACTCAAGTGTTTTTGAACCACCTGAGTTTCACCAGAGTCCGCAGTGCCCAACTGTGCTGTCATCGCTCTGTCCTTGTTCGGATTGACTCGCTGGTCCAAGGACCGCGCTGTCCTTGAGCCACAAGATCGCTTTGACCACTGAGAAGTGCGCCTCGCCCAGGCTCTTAGATGACATGTTAGATTGTTAGATGCCTGTCAGCTGAAGGATCTGCAGGGTGGATGCTTTGCCTCAAGAACGTCCAGAAAGGCCAGTTCAATGGCTGGAACCGAGATTTGTATGGGGATGACACGTATTATCTGGGCCGAGGGTCACCATCCGTTGGGCCACCCCCGGATCTCCAAGGCTTCAAGCACATCATGGAGCTCTACTTCACCATGGGGCTGCCCGAAGGTGAAGACTGGGACATTGCAGAGTTCCCCTATCATTACCGACGGCTCCACGAGGACAGGAATTCATCAGTTCATGTTGCACGCACAAGTGATGTAGCTCGTTTTGTTGTTTTCTTTTTTTTTGGGGGGGCAACCAAGCTGGTTAATATTGCATAAGCGAACGTTTTGTTTGTTCGTTCCCATCAGCACCCCGGAAGTCAAGATCCCCATGTTCCCAAGCGCTTTGGTTCATTCACTTTTGGCACCCACGCGCCCTCAAGATGTACTTATACATCATCAAAACACATGCATACAACCATTTATAACCGTTTTTTCTAGACTTTTCCTTCTCGTGCTTGGTCTAGGACGGCTTCATCGATCCTACATGGCCTGATGAGAAGGTGGATCGCTTTATCCGTGCGACCTACTTCCCGCCCTATGCGGCTGCCCGGCTGCGGCGTGCCGATGGGGCCATCGATGGAGTGGTGAGCTTGAAGGCTTATCAGGCAGGGAGAATGAGAGAGCTGGCGGACATGGCTTAGGCAAAGTGTTTGCAATAAGCACTTGCCAATTGATGCTGATTAATTCATTGGTAGAGTTCGGTGTAGAATTATTCTCATACTGGGTGACATGTTTTGCTCAAGCGAGGATGGCCAAGGATTGGGTGATGAATTGCTGTGGCACAAGTCTGGCGTTCTGCAGGCACTCCGCGCCGCCGATGAGGGAGCAACTTCTGCAGCGCCTGCCGCGGTGCCATTCTGGGGGTCATCCTCACCGGTGCAGGCGGATGGGACAGCATTGGAATTGGTGGTGTCATGTGGGATGAAGATGGATGGATGCAGTGGTAGCAGTTCTTAAGGTTATTTCTGTGCTTGACGCCATCCAATGGTTGCATTGGTAGGGGTTCCAAAAGTATCAATTCGGATATCTTGGTGGGCACTGTGTTTGTGTGTGCCAGGACATGCCAGGTAAATGACATGCGGCTCTTTTACATAGAGATATACAGAGAGAGTTTGCCGTTTACTATTGCTCGTGTGTTTAGGTTGGCCACACTGAGCATAGAATTTGTAGGATAGACATCGGGGTGTCTTCACCAATCTATATGTGCTGCAAAAAATCTGGTTCATGATGGTTGGTTCTATCTGATTCATGCATGTTCCACCCTGTTGTATGAATCTTGACGAATCACTGGGCTCATACCGGCTCACCGCAGTTCGGTTCTGTTCGGGTTCTCCCCTCCACTCGCGCGACAAGATTGTCACGGTCGATCGCTCCAGGTGGCGCAGCTGGAGCTCTTCGCCCGGGCCGCGGCCTTCTTCGAGCGGCATGGCCCTGGCAGCTCCGTGAGGCGAAGACGTGAAGAACACCCGGCAGGTGAAGGCGTCCAGCATGGACGGTGAGAGTGAGGTTTTTGGGGGTGGATATGAGCTCATAGTGTTTGTTTGGTGGAGTCACCGGGCGAAGCCGGTCGACGCCAGTTGGTTCGATGTTCGAAAATGAGTTGTGGATCTGAGGCAAGTAGGGACAACTGCCAGTTGTGATGACAGAGATTGCTCAGTAGTCAATCGAGTCATCGACCTTGGCGGTTCCCGTGGTTGGGGCGTGGGCGTGTTGAGCGTGTTGAGCCGGTCACATCAGGCGCTTGTGGGATCGGAAGTGTGAGGAGGCCATCGAGTACTGGAAGGAAAGGCAGGGCTGGGACGTACTGACGGTCACATGTGTCCTTCCTGGGCGTGGCTGGGACGTAGTGATTATTTGTAAGATTAGCTATTAGAATATATATATATACAGTCTATATATATGATTATATCGATTATATTTAGTGTCTCTATGTCCAGATCAATCATGATTGATGAAAAGCAGTCTTAAAAAGGTCTCCCCAGATCTGAAGAGATTGAATGGAGTGCATTCTGTTCAGTTTCATGCTGATGTTCTCAAAACATAGCATGTTCTTAGCGATTTTTAGCATAGGTCCTGCACCTTGCCATTCAGATTTCTACCAGGACCTCGGGCGCTGGTCAAAAATGGCCCCGCCGAGGCCTCAAGGCACTGATGTCATTGCAGAGGCCCAGGAAGCGCAGAAGGCGGTGCCCGCCCAGGAGACTGGTTGAAACACATGATGTTCGGATATATTTTTTTTGGTGTGCATGTCATTGGTCATGTGGTCATGTTGTATCATTTTTGCATCCTGTATCGGTAGGGGCTCATGAAGCTCAGGTAGAAACATTGAACATATCGAAGGCCACTATGTCTAGGGGGACCACCCAGTTTTTGATGTAGCAAGCGTCATAGAATCGCTTTGTTTTCATCGATTTCCTTTCCACTCCTGTGCCTTGTTCGATGTGCCAACCTCGATGCGACCCCCAAAGATCCCCCTTGACAACACGTCAGACGTGAGGACAAGTAGATGAACTCAATATGGACGAGAGAATCAACGCCGCTTCTCAGGCTACAAAGCAGCTCCAACGGATCTGTAACAGCGCCATGTTTTGAGTGGTTGATTAGATCTTTGGAATCCACGAAAAAGGCTTTTCGCCTGGAGAAATCTGCTGAGCTTCTCAGATGGGCCACGACCTCAGCTCAGTCATCCCCGCCGGGAGGATTCCCTGGACCACCTGGCCACTGGCCTTGCCCGCGGCCTCGCTCGCTTGCGGCTGCCCTCCTCACCCCTGGCGCCGCAGGTGGCGCCAGCGCTGGCGCGCGCGGTGTGCGCGGCCGCGGCCTTGGGCGTGCCGCCCGAGGAAGAGGTGGAAGAGGATGTGCTACTGGGACCGAGTTCTTGATGATGTTAAGCCCAAATGGATCATAGTTACACTACATTTTTGCTTTAGTATATATATATATACACATTTTTTTTTAAAATATATTTATGGCTCAAACCTTCCGGAAGAAGTTCCACGGAAGAATTTGAAGTTGCTATTTTGTGGTGGTTCTTAGAGTGGAGTTCTATGGTGGTTCTTAGAGTGGAGAGAGGAGGAACAGTGACCGTCAGCAGTCAGGTTTGAAGGTGCATTGGCCGTGCTCCAGCACAAGAAGGTGGAGACTGTGGGATTTGGGCCGAGCCTGGCGGCCAACTGCCGGGGCAGCGAGTCTCCTGAAAAGTCATTTCAATGACACACTGGGTCGCACAGGACGTCCACACCTGGAATGTCAAAGCCTGGGATGTGATGGACAAATGAATGCATATGAGAACATTTCTAGAGGATGATGTTGGCGAAGAGGGTGGTGAAAACTGCTACTCTAATTGGTCAGGGAATGCTCTTTGTGCGTATCCAAAGATGGTACAATTTTTTTTTGCAAATTGCACATAAAACTTTATAAATCTATACCAAACTACAATCGAAAACTATATGTATATATAACACATGCAACTATACCAAAACATATGGAACTATACATATAATATACAGAACTACAATCAAACAGAGCAAATAGGCGGATTTAGTGTGGGAAGACCAATCTTCAGGTTTTCAACATCCAGACTCGTGAACTTCAGGTGCTTCTCACAGCCAAAAAGCCAGACTGGACCTTCGAACCTGAAACCTTCCCAACCCAAAACCTCGAATCAAGATCAGCGGCCTCCTATGACAGAGCTTCCTGAGCCAAAATCAATGGATTGGTTGAAGGGAACATCTGTAAAGAATCTGTGGACTGAAAACCCGAAAATACTGGATTTTCTGTATGTGGTCTCTTAAACAAATTCTGGGCTTATGAAATCGAGTGCATCGATCCGGACTCTGCCAGGCTGCCCAAGTGCGGCCGAACCGTCGGCGGCCGACAACGACCTCGCCAGCATCGTGGCGACCAGCCATCTTGGCGGCGTTGGTGCTCGTGGTGACTTGGAGAAGGTCGACTGAGTCAGTCAGATCAGATCAGTAGTGGATAACGCTGTTGTGATAATAAGTTGTTTGCTCTAATGCTTTCTTGGCATTTGCATCGCGGGATTGTTACGCTGCCCTGCTAGCTATACACAAGTCGACAATTTTGTTGGTGTGGTGGGACCAGACTCTTAATTTAAGGAGACCAAACCTCCCATTAGGGACTGGTAAGTAGTGGCAAGAAAGTATCAACTACATGGGATATCATGCGATCTATTTGATGGTATATATGTAATTATATAGTTAGGGATCCCTGATATTGCTGGAACCCACCAACTGGAGTTTGCAAGTCCAACCTGTTGGCACCTCACCGAGACAGGGGAGGAGGGGAAAAGACATTCGCTTCGCATTGGTATTGGTTTCTTGTTGGGACTTACTTGAGAGGTATGATATGATCAACTATAATGTGAAGTCAGTGGCAGGATGAGGCCATGCTGAGCTTGGGAAACCATTGCATGATCTCCAAGCTTTAAACACCAGGTGCTCACTGAGGATGTGTGCTTGATGGCCTGTTTGATCACCTCCAAACACTTGTCAGAAGGGTGATTTAACCATATTTGTATAGTCACTCCGATTCACAAATGATACTGTAGCACTAGTGTGATCCATGGTTCCCTCATCGTCCACCATCCAGCATCAATCCATCATCAGGATGATTGAACCCTACATTTAATCACTCCGATTCGCCCTCATGGTCAACCATGATATAGACCATCAACCTATCCTATCATCAACAAATTCTCGCTTGATTCCAACCAACCTTTCAGGTGGCCATCATTGCCAGCCTCTTGGACAACGTCGATGAGTCCCGCTCACTGGCGCGGCGTGTGCCAGTGGAGGGCGGCCGCTGTATGGATGGCTCGACCAGTAACCTTTACCTGGCGAAAGGCTACGCCTCTGGGAGGAGACGGGGAGGATTGTGCCGTCATGCGGGAGGATGATTTGATATGATTTGATATGTTTGATGTTTGGCACTGTCAGAATGTTTCTGGATCGGACACGCAGCTTTGTCTATAGAGGCTCATCCTGGGTTGGCCCCGGGGGGGCTTGTTTGCTTTCGGGGGCTATGGAAATAATATTCATTGATCGAAAAGTGCAAAATATGTATATATAAATATGTATTGACACACTGCCTCATAGTGACATACTGAATATGAATAGCAGTTGTTACGGGCCAATTTGGTTCAAGTTCCAATCCGCCTTGATCTACCCCGAAAGGCCTGCTGAACTCACAAGAGGCCCTCTTTTGGTTGGGCACCGGAATCTTCATAAGTCATATGCGACGCCACTTCTGCACGCTCCCCATTGCAGGAGGAAGTGGGTGATTTGGTTCCAGGGTGGTGGTTGGTGCGGCCCTCCTGAGTTGGCCCATTTGGATGGCTACAGCCCTCAGGAGTGGGCTGACGGGTGGACGCTTAGCTTGTGCGCGTGTGGGTGGACGTTTCTCAGGCAGAGAAGAGCAATATACTGACTCAGGTGCATCCACAGATCAGTCTAGCGCCACGTACTTTTTTGGGTCGTGACAAGTGAACATGAGGAATTGATGACTAAAGCTCTCCTCATTGGTTTAACCTTCAAGGGTGGGAGTTGGTGCAGAGCACGAGCAGGATCACTTGAGGCAAGTCTGACCTTTTGATCCTTTTGGTTTGTAGAGAATTTACTGTAGTTTTTCTATGTTTGTTTGTGGTCCATTTTGGGAGAACCCGGCAGGACACTGAACCAAACACATCCAAGTTTGGCTCATCAGGAGCGCTTACTTCAGGCAGGAACATTGTGTCCAAGAAGGATCACCGTGTTGACATCATCTATTAAGACGTAGTAGAGATTGAACATAGGACATCGCGACAACGCAAACTTTTGACCATTCCTACGCTGTGTGATGCTTTGTGTTTTGGTTTGGAGTTTGGACTTCTTCGTGTTCTGTGAAAGCCGCAGCAATGATCCACCTGACCCTGACAGACTCTAGGACTTTAGGTGAACAGAACCATTCTATCCACCAATCCACCATCCGCCTATCTGTCCACCTGTCCACCTTCTTGTTCGCAGGAGAACGTGGGCCATCCCGATCTTTGCTCCGAACGCGCACGTGGCTATCACGGCAGTTCTCACGACGATGCAGAATTCCGGGACTTCGCAAAACGCGGGTGCCTCTCCGGAAAGAAGGAGATGAACCCCATGATGTACAACTGGAGACTTGGAACATGACAAGAGCCGGTTATTTTTTGACGGTTGAAGAACCGTTGAACACTAGTGGCTAGTTTGTGTTGTTGTCCTTAAGTTTCTGAAAGGAGATAGAACTTGTATAGCGGATGTTGAGATATGATTGTTTCCCTGCAAGCGACGTGATGCATGATGTCACCACACCAGGGGCTTGAGAAGCGGCTTCTCCTCCAAGCAAAAATCACGACAATATCTTTATTGAACCAGTAGTTGAACCATGTTGAACTAATAGCCATTGGCTTCTACAAGCGGTACCCGTTTCTTTTCCAAGTGTGGGGTGCGCTTGCGCACCGGGCACTTGATCCTTATCATCGTGGGATTTGCCCAGGAATCGAGTGATGGTGCGGAATTGTGATGGGACCCTTTTCTTGAGCGACTCAGAGTTGGAGACCGAGCTCCAGGGAAACCGGTCCACCCTGCAGCTGCGTGGGCGGAGCAATGCCTTCAAGGCCGGTTTTCTTGTTCTTTTAGAACAATGACGAGATTGTTTTGCCCGAAACGGCTATGAATGTTGAATGATCTTGAACCAACACCATGCAAGGCTTATTCTTATTTGTTTTCTCAATCGGGCTGCTTTTTCCCCCGCGAAGGCCCTTCAGCAGCTCCTCCCTCTGGGCCTCCTGGATGCCTCCGAGCTCCTCTTGGGTGGCTGCTCCGCGGGCGCGGTCGCTGCACTGCAGCTGGGCGACCAGCTGGCGGAGCTCGTGCGCCGCGCGCAGCGCGCGCAGCGTGGTGCACAGACCGCGGCGGAGGAGGTCTTTGTGGCGATTCTGTGGCCCGGCGATGTCGACCCGTGTCAGAGTGTGGCCTGTGCGTGCCTGTGTCGACATATGTTTTGGTATGCAATGTGCCTGGGTGAGAGATGACAAGCCGTGACAAGCGTGGCAAGAAGAACATCTGCGGAGGCGGAGGCCTTTTTTCCTTAGCCTCAGCACGAAGGCCGCCCTTTCGATATCTCCGACCTTGCGGTACAGATGTGCAAAGACAGAATCAGAATCAAGCAGGACCACATTGACCCCTCAAACCACCCCAATGTATCGATCCCAATGTACGCACATATCGCATACATGGAGTGTTTGGGCTTTGCAACTTTCTTGATCTGAATTCTATCAAACGCAAAGAAAGTGCAAACATATGCTGCAATGTATTTATGAGGAGGTCCTCACTCACTAGAGATAAACATGGAAACGCCATCGGGCCGCGTTGATAGAACCGCAACATGATAGAACAACAAATCACTGACATAATGTTGGTAATGTTCAAGTCTACACCTGCCACCGCCACATTTGTTTTCAAGCATTGCTGGACTTGTCGCTTGGTACCTGCCCAGGTCTGACAGTGGCCTCGATGGCAGACAGTTTGGGCTATTGTAACCTGGGTGATTCGGGGTGACCGGTGTCCAACAGGTGCAGATGGTGTTGATTAGAAGATTTGCAGGCTTTTCAACCTGCTGTTAGCTCATGGTCGTTTTGGATCGTTTTGGGTATATGCTACCTGTCACCAAGTCCAGGACGATCATGATATCTTCGGGTTGATAATATGATGATGTACTCGTACCTAAGGCCGAAGGCGTGCGACTTTGGCTCCACTAGTCCGAACACGAGGTCTCAAGTTGACTCGATGTTGGGGGAATTTGGTGAGGCAATGTTTATTTGCGTTATTTGCTGGCTTATCCGGAAATCCTGCAACAGTGCAAAGATACATTGTATAATCATTGATATTGTTCTGGAAAAGGGGCCGTTTTTCTTTAGCCACCACTGTGGCTGTTACGATTGACTTCTTTCGTCAGCCTGTGCCCTCGTGACAATCATTCATGCAGAAATTCCAAACAGGTCCTACCAGATGCACTAGCTTCAATGATATTCGGATGCACTAGCTCAGTTCGCAGCTATACCAACCATATATATATATATTGATATACACCCTGGAAGATGAACATGGAACCTCAAAACCACTCGGTGTTAAAGGAAAGTAGTCTTCCAAAGGTCCATTCTCAGGTTCCATGTTAATCTTCGGGGGGGTATTTACATTATATATATATATATATTAATCTATATTTATGTATATACTGCAAGGCGATTCAATGTTATAAACAATTTCAACGCCCGCATGTGGGTTGCACTTTTTGCTTGGGGAGAGGCAGAAGAACTGCTTTAGTACATGCAAACGTTTGATGCTCAACGCGATGGATCCAACACATGTGACGATGTCACCCAGGTGGCTTCTTCCTTGATTGGGGCCGGCGTGCTCCGCCCTCGGGCGTGCTGCACTTCCCACAGTTCCAGTGGCTTTGGGAGGCCAGCTTCCGTTCCAGCCGTTCCACCAAGCAGCCGGAGTCGGCACCAGCTTGGAAGCAGGGTGTTTGTTGGAGTTGTTGTGTGCAGAGAGTTCCATTTGGGGCGGTGATGTTGCGCCACGAAGAATGTGTGGAAAACATGACTGGCAGGTGATTCTTAACTCTTACCCAATTGGTATCTAAAGGTGCACCGTCGTCATTCCAGTCCTTTATTGGCAACAATTGTCGCAAAGTCATACTTTATGTGTCCCAGTCCTATCACCCTGGTTGCAGCTTTCCAGTTCACAGCTGACCTGTGATGCTCAGAAAAAGTATCATTCTTGATTCACAACGAGAGGTTGGGTCAAGTAGCACATCAGCAAAAATACTGGAAATAGAGACTTGAGTAGTTGCCACCGCCTGGCCCTTTCGTGTTTTTTAAACGTAGAACACGGATGAGGAGAAATTTGTAATTGGCGGGGACTGGGGAGGGTCCCAAGGGTGGGGTAGCGGGTAGCGTTCGTGCCACGTAGAAGACGGACATGATGAGCAATCCTTTCTGGAAAACACAGACACGATTTGCAACGCTTTTGCACCAAAGCATGTTCTTGGCAGACGCACAACTGTAAGACGCACTCCTTCGGGCCCGAGGGCCCGAAGGAATGCCAGGGCCGGGCCCAAGGAGACCGAGACAGATGTGTGTCCTCCAAATCTGCCAAACGGAGCGAGACAGTAGGTGCAAGATACTGCGTTTAGTATCTCAGCCTAACACCATGGTGTTCTTAGCACAGTTAGGTGAACAGTTAGGTGAATAGGAGCTTAGAGAGTAACACCATTTTAGCTTTCTCGCACCGTGTCTTGCTCCCTTTCGCCCGCTTTCCACACCGGTCCGAGCCACACGGTGCGAGCCGCGAGGTGGGCAACTTCTCGGGCTCGGTTCCAGCACGCTGTTTGGCGGAGCATGGTTGGCGGTGCATCTTCCTCTCCACGGTCCTGCCATACGTGCAGCCGCGTGGTAGAGTATGTTATGCGCACCGCAGCGATGGCCGTGGGTTTGACAAGATGGGCGGATTTATTCCCTGAAATTGGAATTCTTTCTCTTTGCCAGATTCCTGGGAAAGGGTGGGCCATTTCCAAGCATATTGGTCAGTTCTGATTGGAACGGAATCTCAGAATGTCCCTACGACATCTCGTGTCATTGGTTGGTCGTAAAGTCTTTTGGAGTACTGCTGTGGATGGACAGCACCCTGCACCCGCGTATCCGATTTGTAGTTGCACTAAATTGGGCATTGCTTGGAGTTTTGCTGCGATGCACAGACGTTGTCCATCAGAGCTGTGTGATACCCTTGGACCAGTCCCGGCTGTAATGCCCTTGGCAAGTGTGAAGGATGCATGTACAAGAATGTAAGGACTTTTTCCGTCCCACACACAGCTATAGCCCGTGCTATAGTATAACTATAGCTAAGCGCCAAGCACAGACACGGGTTCTTTGGTCGAGGTGTCCATCACCCTCACCCTACAGACCGCCCTGAGGACGCCCAGCTTCATCCTGCAGAGCTTGGTGGACTCTTGGCAGCTCCGCTCCGTCGAGCCCACGGCGCTCCAAACGCTGGAGGGGGCCATGCGCACCGCAGCGCTGGAGTATGCTGGCCAAAGGGGAGTGGGAGGAGTGCTGGCCTCGTTTGATTGGAGACTTTCAGGTGAAGGCTTTTCAGGTTCTTTGCTGAACATTCTGCCAACATTGTGTGATAGTGGGTTCACTAGACTGATTATGCTATGCTGATCTATGCTGGCTCTTTTTTCCAGATGGTTTTTTGGGAGTATTGTTGTGGGAATGATTTTGGAGGACCAAGGCGGTCAAAATGTAATCCCTCTCAATCGGTCTTGTGTGAGGCCCTTCCGAAACAGCAGCCATGCGGGTGCATTTGACAGCTGCATCCATCACTGCGAAGCCCCTTGGAGCTTTGAATTCTGTTTTTGATCGTATGTGTTCTTCTTGTTCGTTCATCTTTCCCCACCTGTCAGGTGAGGGTTGTTCCTCACTATGGCATCAAGACAAATGATTGAAATGTCATGGTGGGGATCACTCGAAGTAAAGTAATTTATTTTCTTGATGTGGTTGTTCCTACATCTCCTGAGGGTTCTTGCATGTTCTTGCTGTGCGGTGAAGAGCCATGGGAGGTGCCAGGGAGGTCCTGCAAAGGTCGACCGGCACCCTGCAGTAGGAGCAGTCTCGGCCCAGACATGAATGTTTGAAAGCAAGGCTTGGATGGAACTTTTATACATAACAATGCAATATACTATGTACACCAGACCAAATGGTGAATAGCTTCATATAGCTTCGCACCCTCAGCCCCATCCATTTGAGGGACCCAAAGGGAATTCACGGATTTGAGCACTTGCTCGGCCACGGTCGAGGCATGGGGAGACATTTACTGGGGTGCCCAGAGCAATCGGGAGGCTTTTGAGTGGCTTGGCAGGATGAATCAAGTGTCGGAGAGACGTCGTAGGTTTTACATGGCCGAAATTTGGTGGAACCTGTGGAACCTTTGCTTTAGAATGCCAATCAAAAGAAGCTTGGGGGCTTTTTGAGGGTAAAGTATAGCACAACAGAGGCAGTTTGGAATTGAGAAAATGCTTGTTTTATGGCTTTGCCCACAAAGGTTTCGGGAGGCGAATCACGGCCTCAGGCGTTGGTACCAAAAGCGCCTCGCCGACTTCCGGGCTGGCCCAACTGGGGAGCTCCAGCATTGGCCGCTGCTGCACACGGGGGAACCGGGCGCAGCCAATTGCTTCCCCAAGCAGAGTGGCTTGGCGAGCACGTCGTAGCATGTGTGCCCTACACTATGCATTTACTCAGTAGAATTGAAGTTGAAGATGGACGTACTAAGAAGTCAGGAAGTGCACTTGGATGGATTCCTGAAGAGATGACTGAGGTCGGGTTGCCATTGGAAAAACAGCGATGCTAGCTTTCCATCGCTACCGACTCGGTAGTGTCGTGTATCATGGCCAGGTGAGCACGTGGCTTGGCACCAAAGCCTCCAGCGGCATCCCATCTTGGATGGGAGCTTGGCCAGGAAAAGGTCCGCAGAAAGCGCAGCAGAGGGGACCTGTGTAGAAGGTTGGAGTCCAACGGTCAGGGCCGGTTAGGGGATCAAGTGCTGCCAATTGAAACCGCACGCGAAGACTCGGGTCACATGAGAGGAACAGCACACTGCAGCAGTACCAACAGCGAAGAGTTGCATGACGAAGCATGAACAGCTCCTGCCTTCCTTTTGTTTTTTAGGCCTATAGACCGCTTTGCAAGTGGCTGCTTCCACAGTTTGATGGACAACTCTAGCACTAAAACAGCCTTTTGTGGTGCTACATTTGTGGTGCAGTTGTTGTTGTTGTTGCTGCTGCTGCTGCCGCCGCCGCCATACCAATGAAACCAACCTATTCTACGTGCAATGCATCGCCAAAAGCTTAGCACATATCAACATGATTTAAGTACAGTAATTTGCTGAGGAACATGTGGCATAAATGGGGCATTGAAAACACAAAAATATTGAGACTAACAACAAACAACAAACATGCTTTTGTTTGGAACAT